ATATAAGCCACATAGAAAATTTAAAATTATTTTAGTAGCCACAATAAAAAAGTAAAAAATAGGGGGAAAATAGTAGCATTTCAGCATGTAATCAGAGTTTTTAAATTATTGATGAAATTGTTTACATTTCTTTTTCTACAAACATCTTTTTTATTTTTTAAAGACAGAGTGCCCAAGCTGGAGCACAGTGGCGCCATCTTGGCTAACTGCAACTCTGCCTCCTGAGCTCTAAGCAGTTCTCCCGCCTCAGCCTCCCAAGTAGCTGGGATTATAGGTGCATACCACCATACCCTGCTAATTTTTGTATTTTAAATAGAGGTAGGGTTTCACCATGTTGGCCAGGCTGGTCTTGAACTCCTGACCTCAGTTGATCCTCCTGCCTTGGTCTCCCAAAGTGCTGGGATTACAGGCGTGAGCCACTGCACTCAGCCCACGTCTTTGAATTCTGGCATATATTTTTTTAGTTACAGTGTGTCTTAATTTACATTTCGAGTGCTAAATTGCCGTATGAAGGTAGTGGCTACTGAATTAAACAATGCAGACCTATTGGCTTGATTACATTAAGTTTAATTCTTGTGGCAAGAAGTGCCAAATACATGGTGCTGACTTCTTCCTATTCTATCATCTTGAGAAGCACATACATGTCTGGCTGTCCTACTTTTAGTGTTCCTAATAGGTTTAAAGTATTTTCAGCATCATTCATTCATTATAGTTTACCCATCAGCCTTTGACTTAATTGGTTTAGCAGCCTTTGCTGATCATTACCTGGATCCACTAGATGGAAAGAAAGCCTTTTCTTTATAACTTGTGGAGAATAATTTATTTCTATTTTGTTTAAGCTCTTCTCTACTAATTAGTATTTAAAAGGGATGGGAATGAGGACTGTAGCACCAAAGAAAGAGGCTACAGAGAAAACCATGTTTGAAGTGGTGGCATTAATCAGGTTATACAGGATCTTTTAGGATTAGGGCTGGTTTCAGGTTTTATTCTAAGAGTAATTGGAAGCCTGTAAAAGATATTTCATTAGATAATAGAATCAGATTTGCATTTTTTAAAAAAATTACTCTTTGAAATGTTAAAAAAAAAAAAAAAAAAGAATTTCCTTGGCGTCCATACAGAGATTGCACTGGTGACATGGAAGCATGGATCTACTAATTAGGAAGTGGACACATTGGTTCTAGGGATTATTAGAGGTGACCTGGATTAATTAATGATAGTGTGATTAGAAGAGCGAGTTTTTTAGGAATTAGATTGAGTAGAACCTGTTGATTGAATATGGAATATAAGGTAGAGGGGGAGATATCAAGAGCACCTTTGAGGCTTTTGCCCTTAACAGTTAAGTGAATGGCCATGCCCTTTATTAAGAAGTGAAACACCCGGTCGCTGTGACTCATGCCTGTAATCGCAGCACTTTGGGAGGCTGACGCGGGCAGATCATGAGGTCAGGAATTTGCAACCAGCCTGACCAACATGGTGAAACCCCGTCTCTACTAAAAATACAAAAATTAGCCAGGTGTGGTGGCACGCACGTGTAATCCCAGCTACCCAGGAGGCTGAGGCAGGGGAATCGCTTGGACCTGGGAGGCAGAGATTGTAGTGAGCTGGAGATTGCAGTGAGCCGAGATCGCGCCACTGCACTCCAGCCTGGAGATAGAGTGAGACTCCATCTCAAAAAAAAAAAAAAAGAAAAAGTGAAACAACAGAAAAAAGGGAAGGATCTGATTGGAGGTTTTTTCTTTCTTTCTTTTTTTTTTTTGAGATGAGTCCTGTTCTGTCACTTTTTTTCCCCCTTAACTTGTACTCAGCCACCGTAATGCAGATCCATAGAAAGCAGGCAGTACATTCCTCCAGAGCTGGGTTATGCTAGGTCGGTTTAACCAAAAAGACAAAAGAGCAAAAGAGTTGAGAGTATTGACAAAAAACTAATCGAAATTATGGATATAGCATGGAATCAGTATGGGATAGGGAAAGAAGTGAAGAAGGGAAGATGTAGGTAGAGGTAAAAGGTCTAATAGACTGGAGATTTCAATGAGCCTTCCCTCTCTGCACCTCCCCCCCCTTCAAAACTCTAAAACACTTAGTAGAAATACTTACATAAGGAGACCACATAGGCAGAGGTAATAGGCTGGGAGTGATGTGAAAATGAGAGATTCGGGAGGCAGTGCTGTTTTGAATGCTAGCAAGGAAAATCAACAGACTGTGACTATGTGTTGAAGTTGGTGCTTGAGGTGGGATGGAGCATAGGATCATTGAAAATCAAGGAATGAGGGCAGGGCATGGTGACTCATGCCTGTAATTCCAGCACTTTGGAAGGCTGAGATGGGAGGATCCCTTGAGGCCAGGAGTTCAAGACTAGCCTTCTCAACATAGCAAGACCCCATCTCTTAAAACAGACTGGGTACAGTGGCTCACGTTTGTAATCCCAAAACTTTGGGAGGCCAAGACATTCTGATCACCTGAGGTCAGGCATTCAAGACCAGCCTGGGGAAACTCTGTCTCCACTAAAAATACAAAAATGAGTCAGGTGTGGTGGCAGGCGCCTGTAATCTTAGCTACTTGGGAGGCTGAGGCAGGAGAATCACTTGAACCTGGGTGGTGAAGGTTGAGTGAGCTGAGATCACGCCACTGCACTCCAGCATGGGTGACAGAGCTAGACGCCATCTCAAAAAAAGAAAAAAAAAAAAAAAAAAAAAAAAAAAAAAAAAAAAAAACCTAAAATCAAGGAATGAAAAATCCAAAGTATTTTCATGGTTTGTGCTTCTGGGTGTGGAAGAATGATGGTGGTAGGAATTAGAAAGGAGGAGACCTTGAATCAAATACCTTGGTCTTGAGAGAATGAAGGCATGTCCCTGAAATCAATAGATGACTACAATTAATAGATGAAACAGTGGAATACCCAGGTGCTTGAATCTTTAGTGTGCAGAAATTTTAAAAACACAGTACAGAAATAATGGTCTCACAGCATTAAAGAGGAAGGACATTGACTCTTTGGAAACTGACTGTGGACTCAAGAGTATGCAGAGTATCAGAGAAATTTCTACTTAAAAGTTGCAGAGGTGGAAGTTTCTTATAGGGGATACAGATTTCAGTGAAGACATGGATACAAATTAAGTATTTTTCATGGTTTAATTAGGCAGAAGGAGCTATATATGTAGTTACCATAGGTTGAGCTTCCCTGATCTGAAAATCCAAAACCTGGAATGCTCCAAAATCTGAAAATTTCTGAATGCTGACATGATACTGCAAGTGGAAAATTTCACTCAAGTACATGTAAGAACTTAACACACACTTTGTTTCATGCACAAGATCACTGAAAATATTGTATAACATTACCTTGAGACTGTGTGTATAATATGTATATATATGAAACATAAATGAATTTTCTGTTTACTTGGGTCTCGTCCCCAAGATATCTGAGTGTGCACATGCAGATATTTCTAAATCCTAAAAAAAATAAAAATTTTGAAACACTTTTGGTCCCAAGCATTTCAGATAAGGGATACTCAACCTTTAGAAACTTCTCTTTAAATGTGGATATATATATAAAGAGAACGTAATACAGATAAGTACAAGTTTAATGTTTACTATAACATCGAATTGCAGTTTAAAATTTGAATTTAATTATAATTTCATTTTCCTCAGGATTTTTAAAAAGCCGAGATCGTGCGTATGCAAAATTCTATACCCTTTTATCCAAAACACAGATTTTTATTCGTTTCATTGAAGAATGCAGTTTTGTAAGTGATAAAGATACCGGATTAGCATTTTTTGATGATTGCATAGAAAAGGTAAAAGTTTGTCCTTATATTAGTGTTTAGAAAAAACAGTTTGCCTTACCTGTATAATTATCATTGTTACTGTTAGTCTAGAGTGATCTAAGGAAGACAGTATGGGGGTGTGTATGTGTTACCAATTCTGGGCTGAATTTAAGAATCATTTTCTCTTGTGGTATCAAGTTTCTACCACATATAGCCAATTTTTCTCTTCTTTGTTGATTGATCGATTGTTTGAAACAGAATCTCATTCTGTCACTCAAGCTGGGGTGCAGTGGCATGATCATAGCTCATTGAAACTTCAAACTTATGGGCTGAAGTGATTCTCCCACCTCAGCTTTCTGAGTAGCTGGGAGTATAGGCATGCGCCACACCTGGCTAGTTTTTTAGATTTTAGTTGAGATGAGGTCTGACTCTGTTGCCCAGACTGGTCTCAAACTCCTAGGCTCAAGCAATCCTCCTGCTTTGGCTTCTTAAATCCTTGGGGTTACAGGATGAGCCAGTAAATTTTCTCTTTAAATCTCACTTTCGTTTTATTTTATTTTATTTACTTGAGTACGGAGAACATTTCCTTGAGCCTTGTGAGTTTATGTTTTTTTTTTTATTTAAATGAGTAACAGTTTAAGATTTAGTTTTTTTAATTAAAAATGGTTTTAAGGGTAATAGAAGTCCTATGTTATTTTGTTTTAATGTCTTTCCAAATCCTTTTGCTAATGTATTTCTTTTGTTCTAATGGAGGATGGAAATATGTTAAATTTTTAAGCTTTACTTACCCATCCTAAAATTGATTCTTGACAGCAATGACTTGGTTATAGTTTTTTCTAACTTTTAATAGAATTCTTTTTTTTGCTAAGTAGATCTTATTGTTTATGGAAACCATATATTACATAACATTTGAGATTGTATCCAAAAAAAGTAGAATATTATGACTTTAATTTTATAACCCCCTAATGACTCATATGCCTTAGAAGATTTGAATAATTTTCACCTATCAGTGTGATCTAAAACTTAAGGGATATAATTAAAACTATTCAAGATTTTTGTTTATTTACAAAATTGATATTCCATTATATTCCAGTTATATGAGAAGCTTAATGTCAATCACTAATAAGGGAGCTTAATAATAATGAATTTTTTTTTTTGAGAAGCCAGATAACCTTGTGATTGGTTATCTTTTGTCTTAAGGTTTACAAAAGAGCTAATCAAAATAGCTTTCTATCCTAATAACCACAAGTAAAAAATTATGCTTTAGCCTGAGTATATATTTAGCTTAAAAATATATTGTGCAATGTTTTGTATCAGCCGATACTGAAAAGGGGTAGTTTTTTTCTAAATCAGAACATAAGATAAAAATCTCTGTTAAATTCATAGTGAACATTTTCATTAAGTGTCTGTTTTCTTATTTTCTAGTTGTTTCCTGATAAAGGCACAGAGAAAACAGATAAGGTATGTTTTCCTCAGACTTTAAGGATTGAAATTTCAGAATTAGGTTTTGTTTGTATGCAAATTACTTGAGGAAAATAATTATTTTCAGGTTGATTTTGATTCAGCAGAAGATACCAGATTGATAGAACTAGACGATTCACAGAAAAGTGAGCATACTGTATTTATTATGCCACCAGAGCCACCTCCTAATGATGGAAAGGACCTGTCACCAAAGTACAGGTAATAGGAAGTTTTAAAAGATCTGTTTAGGCACAGCCTATTAGTTTAATTTTTATTAGTAGATATGTATGTTAGTCTTTTATGAAAGTCATTTTCAATATTAATTCAGTAAACTAATGTAGATAAATATTTTATGGAAATGCCATTAGGGTTATAATTTAAAAATTTGATGACATTATCACATGTTGATCATTGTTTACATTAGTGTTTAACTGTATTTTAACCTTTAAAAGTTCCAATTCTGAAGAATAAAAATGTTACTTCTATGAGATTCCCCTCTCCCTTTGGGAGTTTTATTGTCGATACAGAGATTGTGAAGTTTTTATGAATTAGTAATTTACCGGGAAAACTTAAGATAGAGGGCCAGGAATTATTCTTTTTTTTTTTGAGTCGGAGTTTCGCTAGTCACCCAGGCTGGAGTGCAATGGTGCGATCTCGGCTCACCGCAACCTCCGCCTCCTGGGTTCAGGCAATTCTTCTGCCTCAGCCTTCTGAGTAGCTGGGATTACAGGCACGCGCCACCATGCCCAGCTAATTTTTTTGTATTTTTAGTAGAGACGGGGTTTCACCATTTTGACCAGGATGGTCTTGATCTCTTGACCTCGTGATCCACCTGCCTCGGCCTCCCAAAGTGCTGGGATTACAGGCGTGAGCCACCGCGCCCGGCCCGGGAATTATTCTTTATTAAAATAAAGGATAGGATTTGGATGTGACTTTTAAGAAATTAGAATGGATTTTATTATTTTTTATTACTATAATAAACTAAGAAAATCAAACAAAAAGAGAAAACTGATACATCATTCTAGCATCAATACTTGTGTCTTTTAACAATTGTAGGTATGTGTGTATCATGTGGATTTATGTGTGTGTGTATTGCATGTATGAGTTCATCTGGTAGATTCTCTTTGTAATCTGCATTTGCCTTTAGTGATCTGAACGTTTTCCCATGCCATTAAATATTTTTGTGCCTTATCATTTGTAATGACTACATTGTATGCATTTATTATGATTTATTTAACTAGCCTCTTACGGATTTGTTTGTAATTCTTTGCCATCCACCTTTATGTGCATATACAGTTATTTTCTTAGGCTGTGTTTCTAAAATAATTTCTAAAATGGAAAATAAGTACCTTCCTAAAATAGAGAATTAATATATAATATCAATAGGACTGCATCAGAATGAAGAATATGTCTGGGATTGAGTGGCTTAATTAAATACAATTTTGATTTCATGTTAACTATAGAATTCTTTTCTACTTTGGCTTAACTGCTAGAAATTGGAATCCAGATATTGACAAACAAGATAAAATCAAATATGGAAAGGCAATATTTCCTGGCAGAAAATTGGCAAAGGAAATAAGCAGACAGTTTCCAAGAAGAAATCCAAAGTCAATAATATAAAAATGTGTTTTGCTTTTTTTCATTCAAAGAAATGCAAACCAAAATGATGAATAGAAACCTTTGAGATTGCAAATAGGTTATGCTAGTAGTTAGAATATATGTTCAAGTATAATCTTTTTGGAAATAAATTGATAGTAATTATAATAATTTTAATTCTTTTGATAAACATGGACCTAGCAAACTCTGTTATTGGGTATTCATCCTAAGAAAGTAAGCAGAAGTATTCATAAAGATATACATATGAAAATATTTAATTGGAGAAATTTAGAAACAACCTAATAATGTCCAGCAGTGAAAAACTGCTCAAATTGTGGTACATCCTTAAAATAAAAATTTTATGGATTTTTAAAATTTAAATACTGATGCAAGGCAATTTTATGAAGGAAAACATAAGTGTACTAAATAGTAAGTGTACTAAAATGTAAGTGTACTGAATTTAGTACACAAAGCTACTAAAATTTTTTTAAACATAAATTATCGAACACATGGATTCTCTTCAAAGAGTTATTTCCCCCTTTAAGTAAGATATAAGAGTTTTCTGTGTTTTAGAAATTGATTCAAAATAACAGATAGGGTGGAGAGGAGACAAAATTTTCATGAAGATAGTCTCTATGTTATATCATTTGAAAAAGTATTTTTTCCATATAAGCCTTTAAAATAATGTTGGGTATTATTTGAGGTTTAGAAATACTTGCCTAAATGCTGGAATAATATGAAGAGTTGATGTATTTTAAATCAGCAGTTCTATTTTTGCTTTTTATTTTAGTTACAAATACTTTCCAAGACTGGACCTTAAGCTTTTTGACAGACCGCAGGAGTTGAAACTTTGTTTTAGTAGACACCCTACTGGGAATAGCATTACAAACAGTCCAGCTCTCATGGCTAAGAGAACTAAACAGGTCAGATATTCTTTATCTAATACATGTTCATTTAAGATGTAAAATATGTATATGTGATATGCAGCTCATAGTTTAGAATGATCACCAACAACCATTTGAAAACTCACTATGGTTGTTACTGAATTTAACTAGATTTCTTGCAGGCGTGCCTAAAATATCAAGGCTGGGCCGGGCATGGTGGCTCATGTCTGTAATCCCAGCACTTTGGGAGGCTGAGGCAGGCAGATCACTTGAGGTCAGGAGTTCAAGACCAGCCTGGCCAACATGGTGAAACCGTTTCCACTAAAAATACAAAAATTAGCTGGGCGTGGTGGCAAGTGCCTGTAATCCCAGCTACTTGGGAGGCTGAGGCAGGAGAATTGCTTGAACCTGGGAGGCGGAGGTTGCAGTGAGCCGAGATTGTGTGCTGCACTCCAGCCTGGGTGACAAGAGTGAAACTCCATCTCAAAAAAAAAAAAATCTATCATCTATGTATCTATCTATCTGTCTGTCTGTCTATCTATCTATCTATCTATCTATCTATCTATCTAGGCTGATATTTTTGAATGCTTATGTTTATGCTTTAAGGGAATACTTAGGAACCAAATATACTTTTTAGAAAACTTAATTGAAATATAATTCATATACCATACAATATACCTTCTTAAAGTGTATGATTAAGTGGCTTTTAGTATATTCACAGGTTTGTACAAGTACCACCACAATTAATTTTAGAATATTTTTATCAGCCCCAAAAGAAAGTTTTCATTCTTTAGCCATTAACCTCAAATCTTAGTCCCCTACAGCCCTAGGCAATCACAAATCTGTTTTCTGTCTACAAATTTGTGTATTCTGGGCATTTCATGAGTAGAACTACATAATATGTGTTCTTTTGTGACTGGTTTCCTTCATTTAGCATAACAGTTTCAGGATTCATCCATGTTCCAGCATATATCAGTAATAATTTTTATTGCTGAATAATATTCCATTGTGTGGCCATACCACATTTCGTCTATTTATGGACGTGGGTACTTACTACTTTTTGGCTGTTATGAATATTGGAAATGAACATTTGTGTATAAGTGTTTGTATGGATGTATGTTTTTATTTCTTTGGGATATATATCTAGGAGTGAATTGCTATGTCAAATGGTTACTGTATGTACAACCCTTTGAGGCACTTCCCAGGCTGTTTTCCAAAGTGGCTGCATGACTTTTTACATTCCCATCAGCAGTGTATGAGGGTTCCAGTTTCACAGCATATTCTTGTCTATTCTTGTTATTGTTTGTTTTTTTATTATAGCCGTCTAGTAAGTATGAAGTTGTATTTTAAATTTGCGTTTCCCTAATGACTAATGTAAATATATTTTATTTCAAGTATTACAATCCAAAGGGAGTTAACTTAGGACAACCTAGACACCCTGCTTCATTACTATATGTGATTTAGGTATAAAGAACTAAGCTATGGTTATGTGTGAGTTTAAAAATTAAAGATCCTTTATTTTGGGGTTCTTCAAAATATGGAAAATTTCACAATGAAAATTTTAGTTTGGGTTTTGCTAATTTATAGGATAGTCCCCTAAATCCTAGAGATATGCTGAAGTATTCCCTAATTTCATACAGTTCATATTTCTTTCAATGTTGTTTGAAGAGAATACTAAAGAATTTTCTTTTTACTGTTACCAGCTAACAAAATGGAAATTTCTAAAATAAATTTTGCTGATTTAGCCTCTAAATTTCATTTATAGCAGAATAAAAGAAAAGAACTGTAGGATCTTAGAAAAACAATGGCATATATTTAAAAATATATACTGAAGTGTCATGGAGATTGAGCTCAAAAGTAAAATTAATATACTAAGATTTTTTTATTTGGAACATAGTCTAGTGGAGGAATCTTTAGTGCAAAGCATAAAATGGCATTCTAACATATCTGGTAGGCTCTCTAGTTTCTGGGAACATATATAGTTTGATAAAGCTCAGCAGATGGCTGGGTATGGTGGTTCACGTCTATAATCCTAGCATTTAGGGAGGCTGAGGCGAGTGGATCAGTTGAGGTCAGGAGTTCAAGGCCTGCCTGGCTAACATGGCAAAACCCTGTCTCTGCTAAGAAAACAAACAAATAAACAAACAAAAACTAGACAGGCGTGGTGGCGGGTGCCTGTAATCCCAGCTACTTGGGAGGCTGAGGCAGGAGAATT